CTGTCCACGGAGATCGCCGGAGCTCTGCCAGTTGGCACCCCAGTTACGAGTCATCTGACGCCAAGTCTTTCCCCTTGAGCCTCTCACCGCAACCGCTTTCACCGCGCCGCTGCCGCCAACGTTTGATAGTATTACCATATTGAAATTACCTTGCCCTCTCATCGTGAACCTCACACCTCCTCTTCTTCTGCATCCCACCCTATATAATATGACACACTAAAAGATCAGTAAATGGATTTAAATGATGTTACATTTGTGTGTGACTGAATTATTTAAATGTTCTATAAAAAAAAAAACTATTTTAACGAGATGGGTTATAGCTAGGGGATATATAGTTTATTTGTGTTTGCAAATTTTTAGTATATTTAATATACTTTTATATGTACATATTTAGGTATAAAAACACTATAGTTTATCGAATATCATTTAACAAGTTCAATAAGAAATAAAATGTGAAAGAAGCACAAATAGAACATAATATGTTACCGGCGGTAGAAGACGGGGACGATGCCTTCGTTGCCGCGACGGGCTATGCGAAAGAAAGCAGGCATGGACATGTCGAAATGGTGACGAGGGAGATTGCACCAACCTCCATTATTGTTCGACGGACAGAAGTTTGTAGCCGTCACAGTAACGGCGGCTCCTCGGAGACACCACTTAGGATCTGCCCAATAGTCACACCTCACTTGGTAACACCCACCGCATGACTCTCCGCTTCTGAATAGTGCACCGCTAAGCGCCGTCGTGTGGGCTCCGAATCCGGCGTGGTACGGATTGTCATACCCACAAGCTCCACCTATAATCATATATATCGAAATTAATTAAGTTGTTTAGAACAAAAAAAGTTTGCTATACAAAATAAAAGCATTGCAATATAGTGAAATGGGCGTTTTAATTACCAAGTGAAGCAGGGCTATCATTAACACCATAAAACGTTGCATGAGCCCTAATCCAACCATTAGAACACATCCCCACACTTAACGTACCAAGGAATAGAATAACCGTAACCAAATATTTTCCACTCATATCCATATCGTAGTAGTATATATTTTTTCTTGATTGAGATAAAAAGAGATAGAAAGAAAAGGTTTTAGTTAAGAAGTGCCTGATGGAGAATGAAGCCCTTTGGACTCGTTTTATAATTGATCTGTATAAGAAATAACGCGTTTTGGCGGTGATTAATATTACGACTTATTTCACTTGCACCACAATCTCTCATGCATGTGTTCGTTATCTTTCTTAGTTGGACCCTTATTTTTTACTATTTTTGTTCCTTATGTTTACTATTACTCTTGAAAATTCTCTAATAATTGAATATATATACCTCTAAACGCAGGATAAAAATATTTATCCTTAAAACTATGTGAAATTTTGAGTTATATAGTTAGTTTTGCTTATTAATTTGGTGAGAGTTGTTTAGAAGACATTGATATGTTCCTTACCCAAAAAAAAAACACTAATATGTTTATTGCTCCAGCGCAGGTAACAACAGTTTAGCTTTCGTGGAGAACCCATGATAAATAGTAAAATACTAATATATGAATACTACAAGATACATACATATTTGATACTTGATAAATGTTTAGCACTGTAGTCTATACTCTACTATAGTCTATAGTGCTAAACATAAGACTATAGACTATAGTATGTTAAGTAATTAATGCCTTGTAATCTGACAGCAACTACCATTTGGTTCCGATGTTTCAAATAAGAGGAAAAATATGAGTGAAACTAAAAAGATTGGCACAGTTGACATTCTGAGATATAGCTGAATATTTAGTTAAGGCTTCATGTTCGTATGTTCATTACTCATTGCTATTTTCTATAAGAGTTTGAAGTCTAGCTGCTAAATTGCAAATTACATTCTCCTACGATTTAGTCTACATACATTAAATGGGAGTTCACGAAAAAACTCTTTCTGAAATGACCTGTTTTAGTCTCCTACGTTTTAGTCTACTGATTAGATGTGGGCATCCAATTGAAAGTAATCATGAAACAACGCGTTTTCTCATTACTGTTTTAAATACTATAGTATATACATGTCAAGGCACATAGTCTACACTTAAAATACTAAAATAGAAATGAAACACATATATAATATGGACATAGATGATAGACAATATGGACATAGATGATAGACCCGCGTGGCATTACTACATGTCCTAGGCAGTACACAGAATCAAAGAGTACGGAAAAGCCTACATATGCACTCAAAGACATTTATGTATCTATAGGTTGTACGGTGAGTTAGCTTTAGGAAGAACAATGGCATGTGGTTACACGTGGATTTGTGCTTCTCACCCTCTCCATTAATGGCGTCGGTGAAGTTTTTTTATATATTTTATTTATCAACAACACAAAGTGAACCCACGAAACATAACAAGAATTAGAACAGAGAACTATTGTTTTGTTACTCGACCAAGAACCTTTCCAATGTCTCTCTAGGGACAGTTCCAATTATACTGTCTTTCTTCTCACCATCTTGGAATATGAACATGGTCGGAACACTGTGTATTCCAAAATGGTTGGAGTTTGGACTCTCGTGTGTGTTGATTTTGTAGAATTTGAACTTACCTGTGAAGTCCTTAGCCAGTTGGCCAACTATGAGTGGAATCATACGGCACGGTCAACACCATGGTGCCCAAAACTCGACCAATATTCACGAACCCTCTGTTTGCCATTCTGAATCAGACAGGTTTGGTACTGCACCCTCCATCAAACAAATATATTTAGTTAGATCTCTCAAAGTGAATGCTCATTAGTCGCAGAATATAAAACTGCAAATCTAATTTAACCTTATAGTCATAGATTCACCATCATAGACTGAAAACCTTAACTTTCCCAAATCTCATTTAACATTGAAAACCAAAAGGTGGTAAACCATAAAAATATATTCCATCTATTTCATTATAGGTGTCATTTTAGAGTTGTGCATACAGATTAAGGAAATAATAATTTTCCATATTTTCTATATAAAAACACAATTACCTATACACCTAACCACATTTTAACCAATAAAAACAAATTACATAATAAAATTAATAAATTTTCTTTTGAAAATCGAGAGCTACACTTATTTTGTAACGAAAACATTTCTCTACAACAACAATTAATATGAAACGGAGAGAGTATCAAAAAAGATAATCAGGAGAAAGTTTTAAATGAGATTCCAATTTCCAAGGCAGGTTCACACATTGTGTTGATTACGAAGATAAGGATTGAAAGTCAAAATCGAAACCTTGGTTAACGTTTTTACTCACTTCTCTGAGAGAATGTAGCTCTCAAAACTGAGTTTCAATAATCTGATAAAAGCAACTGTACTAATGAGGGTTCTATTAGCTATCAATAAAAGTCTTATCACATATACAAGAAGAAGAACGATATAAACTAGCCCACCACAATTGTACAGATTTGGGTTGATTCCTAGCCCACCAGAGTGGTAATGTACAACCTTTTTAAAACCACAACAAGGAAACAATTAAAAAAAAAAACTTTCAGGAGACGACAAAAACTCACTTTTGAGACAGTCCAAAAGACTTACCGGTGGCACAGAAGGGTATGTATCCGGGAAGAAGATATCGAAAAAGAAGAGACCGTCATGGTAAGGAGTGCCATCAGCTCCAATAATAACAGCCCTCAAAAGATCCATCCTAGACTCATAAGCTCTGACAAATATCATCTCTATTGCAACAAACAAAGAAAAAGTAAGTAGTAACCGGGCTTCGTAGCCTGGTGGTAAAGGAACCTCGGCTGAGGTGTCCGCCATCCGACTTCGAACCCCGGCCAACACATAATTTACCTGCGGAGTTGGTGTAGCGCTCCAGACCATTAGCGTAACCAGGGGCCCTTAAGTGGACGCTTAAAAATCATGTCATGGCATGGGCTTAGGCCCGGTGGGCTAGTCGATCACGCTTTGTGGTCGGATACTGGGTTATCAAAAAAAAAGAAAAAGTAAGTAGCTAATATTAAGTTGTGTATGCATATTAATTACACCAACCTGGCAAATCATTCTCAAGAATCCTCCACTCTTCTTGGATCCTCTTAGCCCATTCCTTTGAATGCTGAAAGTAGTACCAAATAAATAGCATCATGTTATATCAAACACTCTCAAGAACAATGATTTAACTTATTTCTCATATGGTTGCAACCTTTTTTGAAGCTGTTCCTTTAGAGCATACTGGTGGTCCACCAAATCTTCAACGATGTCAAATCTTTTGAAAAACACGTACTTGCCTAGATAATCCTTCATATCTCTCTTATCTCTGGAAGTATCTGGAGCTAAAATAACCTCTTGCACTCCAGGTCGAGCATTATAAACACCTTTTGGCTTGTGTTGTGTGGGAAGCACTACACTAGACAGGAGCCTGAGTGTCAAGATGATTCTGTGGCAAAGCGTAAGCAGAGTTTGGTATGACTCCTTTAGAGTTGTGTGGTAAAGCACTCCATGGTATATCTGAATGTTTAGAATGGATTCCATTTATTATTTTTGGTTTCTTGGAGCTGCTGCTGGTGGTAGCTTCTTGTTTAATACCGTGTTCTTCACGTGAAGACTTTCTGCTTCCACTTGATTTAGAATTTGGAAGCCAGTCCATTGTCACCTCCACGCCAGCTGGGAGCTCCTTCTCCTTGGCATCAAAAAGAGCTTGATACTAGGAGACGTAATCATCAGCCTCCTCCTCCTCTTCCATCTCCATCTCCATCTCCATCTCGTAGCCATATTGATCAGAATCGTCTTCGTAGATCAAAGAGTCTAGATCAAGTAAACTATTTGATGGTAGTGGAGAGGATCCAGGAGAAGACTCATTGTCCTAATGATGAAAAAGAATGTCGTTTTTAGCTGTAAAGCAGTTATCACATTGATATATAATATAGAAAAAATCAAACACTACCTCTAATTGCTCATCGTCAGAAAATGATCCTAATTGTATAGCTTTCCCTTTGTTATTATTATTATTATTATTATCTACATTGTTGTTATCAAGAACACCACCGTTTTGTATTGCAACTGGAGTTGTGTCCTACAAGATAATGAACGATGATATAAGGGTAGATCTTGAGTAAGATAAACATGATATCCACAGTTGATTAGCAAAGCCTGTGAGAGTTTTGTTCATTTATTTACATAGTTGAATGTGTTCCAAGTAAAAGAAAACTAAAAACAAACAACATAAAGTAAACTGATTACTAGAACAGTCAGGGTTTTTAGTGATCACAATAAATAGTTAAACACAGCCGAGAAATATATACGATCCCACAAGATGTGAATAAGGTAAAAATATTCAGCGAATTTTGGGAGGCATAGTTAAACAGAATTTACCGTCTAGTAAACCTAAGACAAATACTATTCAATATGATCATTAACCTTGTTTGGCGTTAGAGTTGTATAAACGATAACGATTTCCACTAAACAGAGAATTGAATTTGCCACTTTTTAGAGAAAGAGGAGAAGAAATCGACGGAGCACTACTTCTCTCTTCTGGCCCTATTTAATCATAATCCTAGCCTGTTATATCTCGATTTTGTTCTGGTTTCAGATTGGTTTTATTGCTTTTTCTTTTTAATTTATAAAAAATAGCTACTACACTGGATTAATATCCAATTTGGCTTGGTTCTGTTTATATACTATCGATTTTCAATTTATTCTGTTATATAACGAAAAAAAAGTAATTATACTTAGTTTTTATAACAAATTTTAGTTTATATGATTAGAAAACAGATTTATTAAAACATAAATATATATTCCTTACTTAATCTTTTAAATATAATATTTTATGTTTTATTATACTATTAAAATAAAAATAAGGAAATTTTTATATCCTAATATTATTAAATAACTATATTTGAGCACAAGTTTTTACCAATAATTTTTTTAAATATGTTTTATTTAATTTTCCCAAAAATAAAATAACCTTTTAAAATTAAAACAAAACAAATTTATGAATTTAGTGTTTTAATTACGAATACCATATTAATAAAATAATATTGAACAAATTTATCAATATTATTAAATCCAAACCAGTTTCTCTATTTTAGTTCGGTTCAATCTTAATTGTTTCGATTTTACTAGATTGAACACTCCTACAAACCTAATCCTAATTAATTTTAAGAAGGAAAACCTAATGAGAAGTGTTTTAATTCAAAGTGATTATCTAAGATGATGGGGTTGAATTTTGGCTGGGTGATTTCGATCCTATTTTATTGTTTACATGGCTTTAGCAACGGTGATGATTATAGTTGTGCTCATTGTTACAAAGCTAGAAAAAGGCAAAGAAATTAAAAACCAAGAAGAATATAACAATAATGTAGCAGCACAAGTATCTTCAACTTCAGATGAGAAACTGAGTATGAAACTCATAATGTAAGTCTAAGCTTTAGTTTATTTTTCCGTTTGACATCTTATGATTAGGTTTCTGTTTTGCTGAAAGACTTAATCTACTTAGTATTGACGAGCATATTGAAGGAGATCACCTTAAATTTGATTGAGGTTCACAAGAAGCTAACAATAAAGGAGCAGTTGAAGAGTTGGATGATCGACATTTAGAAGAAAATTAAAATATTCTGTGTACAAAATCTGATCAATCTACATAAGACATGTTACAAATAATGATTAACTGATTTGACATATGTTATGATCTTGTTAATAACGGTAGAACATCAAAAATTATATTATAAGGTGCCAAAGTATACATCATATGTTAATGGTTTAGGGTGATATTTATTTGCGCAACATCAAGAAGCTGTCCGAAAAGATGTTGAGCGTGCTTTCGGAGTTTTGCAAGCTCGATTTGCTATTGTTAAAAATCATGTATTTTCTTGGAATAAAGTCAAGATTAGAAATATTATGAGAACATGTATCATAATACTCCATAATATGATAGTAGAAAACGAACGAGATGAATACACTGAATTTGATGTTTCGGATTTCCAACAAGAAGAAGACGGCGGAAGTTCACATGTCGATCTCACTTATTCTACAGATATCCCTACAAATATCGCCAATTAGATGGGTGTTCGAACTAGAATTTGTGATAGACAAGTGCATCAACAATTAAAAGGTGATATAGTTGAACATATATGGCGTAAATTTGGACGTGATCAGGACAACAAATGAGCTTCAGTGTTTCTTTGAAATTATTATCGTTTATTTTAGTAATTTTTTTTTATGTTATTATGTTTTTATTTTATAATGTATGTTTAAAATGTTATGTTAACTTTGGTTTTTATGTAAAATAAATTTTATGTTCAATAACATTATGTTTAGTAACTTTTTATTTTAAGAACCTCTAATTAAGAAACTATTAATAAACTACTAAAATTAAGGGTTTCTTAACAAAATTCTTAACTTCACTTCAATACTAAAAAAAATCACTAAAAACCCTTAAGTGTGTTCCCCCAATTAACTGAGCTTCAGTATGGTAATAATAATCTAATCAAGGCAACTGTACTAGTGTGACTTCTATCACCTCTCAATGTCTTAGGTTATTATATAAGAAAAAGAAAAAAGAAGAAGAGGATCCATGCTAATAAAAAAGGTATGAACGAAGTCCTATGTTCTGGTTCTTAAGAAGAATAAAAAGAAGCAATGAAGCTCAATTTGAAGAAACTCTGCCTCTCTTTGGTCTTTTACTTCTGCTGCTCTCTGCAACCTTAGTCTCTGAGAGATTGTCTTCTTCTTCTGGTTCGAGACCAAGAACGCCTAAAAGAATGAACTCCTTCAACAAAAGCGTGTCCACAAAGGTAGCCACATCTGTCCTAAACTTCTCAGAACATTTCTCTTTACTCTCTTCCCCCTCTTTAACCTTTCCCCTCACCAAAGATGCCACTGGAGCTCCGTTTTTATAAGCATCACACGCCTTCAACACGTCATGAGCACAGCTGAAGAAATGCCCATACGAGAAGTCTTCAAAATACTGTGAAATTAGAAACCCACCACAACAATCAGCTAAAGTTTTTTATCAAAAAAAAAAAACAATCAGCTAAAGTTTTCATATTCCTTGTGACACAAGAACCAGTGTAGATGAATGAGTTTTTTTTTTTTTTTTTTTAAATTACCTTGGGAGGTCTCCTCATATTGTAAACCATAGTCTTCAAAGAAAGTAAGAAAGTGTTTTCGCTGTAAGCGTTAGATTGGCTCTCCCCGGATGGAGTTCCTGCTGTCCTCGCGTAGCCAGGCTCGTTGAAGTAAGGTTTTTCATTCAAGATTAGGCCTTGGATTGAGACAAGAACCTGTAACATTGTAGATTTGTTGGGGATCCACTTCTGACTCGCGGTACCACCCCAAGTGCCGAGAAGACTCAGACACACTTTCCCACAATTGTACAAATTGGGGTTGATTCTTAGCCCACCAGAATGGTAATGAACCACCTAAATAATTCCAAAAAAGGACCTTCACAATAAGAAAACGAAAACACACTTTTGAGACAGTTCAAAAGACTTACTGGTGGTACAGAAGGGTATGTATCCGGAAAGAAGATATCGAAAAAGAAGAGACCGTCATGGTAAGGAGTTCCATCGGCTCCGATAATCACAGCCCTCAAAAGATCCATCCTAGACTCATAAGCTCTCACAAATATCGTCTCTGTTGCAATAAACAAAGAGAAAGTAAGTAAGTTGATAATATTAAGCTCTGTGCGTATATTAACCTGGCAAGTCATTTTCAAGAACCCTCCACTCTTCTTGGATCCTTTTAGCCCATTCCTTTGAATGCTGAAAGTAGTACCAAATAAATAGCATCATGTTATATCAAACACTCTCAAGAACAATGATTTAACTTATTTCTCATATGGTTGCAACCGTTTGTGAAGCTGTTCCTTTGGAAGCATACTGGTGGTCCACCAAATCTTCGACGATGTCAAATCTTTTGAAAAACACATACTTGCCAAGATAATCCATATTTCTCTTAACTCTGGAAGCATCTGAAGCTGAAATAACCTCTTGCACTCCAGGCCGAGCATTATAAAAACCTTTTGGCTTGTTTTGTGTGAGAAGCAGCGCACTAGAAGAAGCTAGAGCTGGAAAAGGAGACTCAGGGTCAAACTGATTCTGTGGCAAAGCGTAAGCAGAGTTCGGTGTGACTCCTTTAGCGTTGTGTGGTAAAGCCTTCCATGGTGTATCTGAATGTTGAGAATGGGTTCCACTTATTATTTTTGGTTTCTTGGAGCTGCTGCTGGTAGTAGCTTCTTGTTTAATACCGTGCTCTTCACGTGAAGACTTGCTGCTTCCACTTGATTTAGAATTTGGAAGCCAATCCATTGTCACCTCCACACCAGCTGGGAGCTCCTTCTCCTTGGCATCAAAAAGGGCTTGATACTCGGAGACGTAATCATCAGCCTCCTCTTCCTCCTCCTCCTCCTCCATCTCATAGCCATAATGATCAGAATCGTCTTCGTAGACCAAAGAGTCAGGGTCTAGTAAACTATCTGATAGTGGTGAGGATCCAGGATCAGACTCATCGTTGTTGTTCGTTGTGTCATAACCATCACTAGCAGATTCCTAATGATAAAAAAAAGAGATATCATACTAATGAATAACATGGAAAAAAATCAAAACACATACCTCTAAGTGATTATCTTCAGAAACGGATCCCAATTGTATAGCCTTCCCTTTGTTCTTATTATCAACATTGTTATTATCAAGAACACCACCGTTTTGCATTGTACCTGGAGTTGTGCCCTACAAGATAATGAATAGAATTAAGAGTTTTGTTTAATTATTTAAGCAGTTGAATGTGTTCCAAGTTAAAGAAAAAACTCATCAGCTTACGATGCACATCAAATAAACACACAACAAACAGATAACATAAGTACGACTTAATAAACAGATCACAGAACAGTCAGTTAGGGTTTTTAGTGATCACAATAAACACAGCCGAGAAACGAATACGTTCCTTCAAGATGTGAATTAGGTAAATTAGTGAATTTTGGGATGCACGGTTAAACAGATTTACGTCTACTAACCTAAGATAAATAGATGAAAATTTCAATATGATCATTAACCTTGTTTGTTGGGGTTAGAGTTGTATAGACGATCTCAGGCTCCACTGAACGAGAATTGAATTTAGCACCAACTTAGAGAAGAAGAAGAAATCGAGGTAACACTTATCTCTTCTCGCCCTATTTAATCATATATAATACTACTAATTAAACTTAAAAGGAAAAAAGCTAATTAGAAGATTTTTTATTTAAAGTGATTATCTATTAAATTTTTCAATTGTGCATTTTTTTAACGAGTCAACATGGAAACTGGAAAGTCTAGGGGCTGTTACTGGATTTCATATTTATAAAATTTATAGATTTGGGTTTTAATATAATTCTAGTGTTATTTGAGTAAGACTTTTCAAAACCTTTTAAAAGACTACTGTTATTAGATTATGATTTTTAAGAAGTATCTAAAAGTTTTTGAAAAACTAGAGGTATTAAATTCATTATTTTGCAAAATCAACAAAATTGTTGTGTTATTAATTAAAAGAAAAAGGAAATTAGCTGACCCATCACTATTTTGAAATCTGAAGTTATTTATTGATTTGCATGTTTTTCTTTAAAATCTATTTACCAATGGTGATAATTACGAAGGTAATTGGTTGGGATTTAACTAGTGACTTTAACTTTATTTTATATATACAACCATATAAATCATCAATTATGCTTTAAGTAGTTTTTAAAGGTAAAATCAAAAAATTAAAAAAAAAATGGTTGTAAAAACCTTATTTTCTAAAGCAAAAGAATATTGATGTAGGATTACTGTAGGAATATCTTTCATTTTTCTATTTTTCTCATTTAATTTTTACAACGACATTAGATACAATTACATCCAAAAATTCTACCGACTAAATTCTACAATAAAATTTTTACAGTTACAGTTCAATTAATCACCCATGTATCTCATTCTGCTATTGTAGAGGAAAGTTAAAACAAAAAGTATTGGGTAAATCCAAGGGATAGGAACTCTTCTATTTAACAATCATAGCAAATCAATGTAAAGTACTCTATGATTTCTACAATGAAATCTATCGAAGACTATAATCTAGATTTGTTCTAATTTAACTCTAACTTTCTTAAGAAAAAATAAAGATATTCATGCTTTGATTTCAATTCACAAATTCATTTCTTCTTTGTTCTTTTATAATTTATTTATAAACAGTTATTTTATTACTTAAATATAAAATGGTATAAGAAGGCTTCTTTATATCTTTTTTTTTTACTCAAACTCAATTTTCTATTAACCAACTTGTTCTTTTAAACATAGGTTTATCAAGTTTCACTAGATTTTTTTTTTTTGCTAACCTTCACTAGATATTTTACCCACAATGACTCAACTAAATACAACTTAGAAACATGAGACATGAATGTAGAAGTGTTCTTTGCTATCCTGTTATGCAACGTTATTTCCTTCTCTCGGATAGTACTGAACTACAGCCTCCTAAATCTTTGAGAGAAAATGAGATATAACCTGTATTTTTTCAGTAATCCTTATATCTTTAAGTGATCTTTGATGGAGAATATCACAAACTATATCTTCAGTAATTTTTTTCTAGTGTGTATTGATTTGTTATTACTGTTGTTAGCAATAACAAAAACTTCCAATAAATAACCATCGTTACACACACACACATATATATAAAATTATTGTACCCTTATGTTATGATCACGAATTTTAATGTGACTTTATGATCACACTGTTACTTGTGTCCTTATGATAACACTTTTTTTATTTGTGTCATTTCACTTAATGAACACAGATTAGATATAGCATATATGTTTAAATAAGGCAAAGGAATATGACTATCAATAAACCAATATCCTACTGAATTTATGATAAATGGTGCTTTTACTCATTATCGACTATAGTTTTCAAGTATTTTTCAAAATCTTTGGTGTCTATTGAATATTTTCAGGTTAAACATGGTGGAAGGGATTTTGGACACACAAAAAACAAGGATTGGAGAAAAAGGAGAAATTTGAACGTTCTGGGATCGATCGACCCCTTTAACACTGGTCGATCTGCTGCTCAATCCCAAGAGACTGACTGAGCCCTTTTCTTTGGCCAATCTATCCCAAATGCGCTGAACACAAAAAAAAAAAAAAATTTGCTTTTCTTTTATTTTTGGTCTGGTTTTTGTATAGAAATGCGCTTCTGGCGATTTTTGACTTATAACCTTTGTTTTTATAGCCATTTTTAGATTTGAGCATAATTATGACTGAAACCGGTGTGAAACCTTTTTTTGTATTTTTTGCCTGAAAAAAATTAAAAAACGAACCAATCACGGATTGGCATGTGGCGGTGGAACCCGCGAACAGTGCAAAATCTCTTCAAGATCGATCTTTATTTTGTGCTTTCTATCACCGATCTTTAACTTTTTGTAAAGCCTACTCAAATATTTAATTTTCTTTTTTTTTTATCAACATAATTATTTTTTGTTAAGGATCTCACTGTTAAGGATCCCCTTTAATGATGGTCTTATATGTCTTTGATGGTTTCCCTTGCTCTGCACATATACTGTGTGTCACAAATGTGCATTTCTTGATCTTTCATTTCCATGGGTTACCAGCTATTATTTCCTTTTTACATATAGACGATGTTCATCTCGGAAATAAGCTGATCACTGGTGATCTCTCTCATCTCATGATAATGGCCGTTATCATAAATCTGCAAAAGGTTGGGTTAAACACATGAGAGAAATATTTTCTTTAATTGATAAGTACTCGTTCGTTCTATTTCATTTTAGTTTTATATATCTATCTATCTATATATATAAAGGAGAATGTTCTCTTCATATAGAGTGCCACGTCAGCATCCCCAAAAGAGAAGGAGAAACTGCCACGTCAGCTCAAAAATTGTCAATAAGATATTATTTTATTGCCACGTCACTTTGCTCACATCTAATTTTTTGGTTGTTTACCGAAAAAATCAACTTTGGCCCACTTAAATTTCTCGCCCTCTCTCATCATTGTCAACGAGCTATCTCTTTCTCTTCCGCTCACCTGAAATCCCTAACGCCACCCTTTCATAAGAAAAGAAAATTATCCAATATAAATTTCCTTAAGTATATGCAATATAATATTTTGAGAAATATTAGTTTTCTTCTTTTTTGACATAAACATTACACTTTCTCGTGTAAACGTTGAATTCTTTCAGATTGTTTTTATATATTAGTTAAATTTGCATTGATTAATATCTGAGGAAGCATTTCCATTCTCTTGATTAAACCAAATGATCAATGCTATTTCCACTCGGTGGGACGTTTGAACTCTATGATACATGAATCTTTTGTAATTATGATGAAAAGTTTTTAGTAGCTCCAGCATGGTTTAGTTTTAGCCCAGTCGATGAGGTGTGAATTATCTTATCCACTCCAATATAATTGTGCTCACTGAAAGGAAGCATCAATATATAAGATATTCTATCGACTTGAAGTAGATTAGTTTTTGTGACTTTGAAGGGTTTTAACCCTCAGATCTCTCTATCAAAGAATGGAAGAATATCTAACTTTTAGATGTAAATCAACAGAACTATATATACTTCGTTACAACAAACAAGGAACACATGAGTTTCTAAATTTAAAAGTTATATGATGATATTCCGGTTATATGGATAGACAAATGAAATATGATATATAGTCCTAAAATTATACGAGTTAGTATATATATAAATAGAATCCTCAGTTTATTTAAATTTATTATTTTATTAATTTTATTTTATTAAATTATTTTTCTTTCAAAATCTCAAAATCTACCACAACACATAAAATGGTGAGGATTGGATCTTCTCGGTGTAGTATTTTGTAGTGTTTCTTGCTAAAGTTGTAACAGTAATATACAATATTAGTCATACCTCCGTAAAAAAATATTTTATGTATTATATTTGTATTATCTAATAAAAACTATTTAATGTTAACATTAAAATTTATCAAACATAAATTGTGATATTTAAAACCTGAAATTATAGTATAGTATACACATATATACCTAATAAATCTAACAAAATTTTGTTTTGACTAAATACATGATAATTTAAACACGTTACACAAATGTTGACTATTTATTTCATTGAAATAACGATATAACTAAAAGTATGGTAAGTATATTAATAGTAATGAACTAACAACCTTTTGAAGTACATATATAATTGTATTTTTGTATTATAATTGTAAGTGTTACCTCTAATAAGAATAATAATCTACATATTGAAAAGAGATTATTTCAAATTAAATTAAACTAATCATTTTAAAATATTCAATACAATTGATAATATATTATATAATTTTTTCGATTACTAATCCACCCGTAAGGCGGGGCAAACCCTAGTTTTCTAAATAAAAACATCATTAACTATATATCTAATCTTATTTCAATGAGAATATAAATAGTCATATAAAATTAATAAATATTGCACTGAAATTTTAAAATGGCATTCCTTTTGTAACAAGAATTTTATTTTACAACATTTAATATAAAATGGAGGAGTAGTAATTAACAAAATCCCGTACTATAATAATGTCTTCTACTTTGTTGGTTTCATTGCCTTGTCGAATTCTTCTTGTTCTTGTGGCGTGTTCACCACGAGAATACAGATCTCTCAAGTACAATGGTGAAGGCTCTTCCTGTTTTGTATGTAGATAAATCCCCAGATTTCATCATTAGTTAAGAAACAAAAAGAAAAAGCAATGAGGAAATCAGTTACCTTACCTCACCACGAAGAATGCATTCAATGTGAGCAAGAAAATCACATTCTTTGGCACGAACAGACATGTTGATCTTGTGCGATTACCATAG